CCGGACATGTCCGGGAAAATCCGGACGTATGGTAACCCTACCCCCACCTCCCCAATTTCTGCAAGCACAGATCTGCCCAGCTCAAGGAGGCTGCATGTCTGCTCCCCAGACTCTGCAGCTGAACGCCGCCTCCTGGGTCCTAGTGCCAGTCGCGCTGCCTTTCTGTGTGCTGGGAGCCTTCCTGTTTTCTGTCCAGCGGGCGAGTGCCCGCGGTGGGGTGGGGCATAGGGAGGGGAATGTGGGAAGGGGGATGGAGAAGAAATGGGGATAGGAGAATCATGAGGGGAAGCAGGAGCCTGGCATGCAGCATCCCCTCGGCAGCAGCTGGGGCTCCCCTGTTAAGCAGACCCATCAAACCCTTACCCTGACAAGCCCTACCCCCCTATACCTGGACCCCTCCAATGAGCCCCATAAACCCAGACCCCACCTCACTGATCCCCAAGCAGCTGCACCTGGACCCCCACCCCCATCAAGCTCCACTCCCCCAGCACCCAGACCCCACACCTACAAAGTTTCTATATTAACCAAAAATATAACATTTAGATTTCTAAGAAAAAGCTTTAAGAAGTAAGGAGGGGCCTTTAGATTAACAACATGAGAGAGTCTAACATATATTTACTATCCAGCAACCATTTTTCAGACAAAAAGACTTGCGTGAAGCATCTTATGTCATTTCTTTAGCACAACAGTTCATCTGGAGTTGTATTCATTTACGAAACGGTCCCATTATCAAGAATTTTTTCTTGATTTTTCCCATATCAGTACCTGCACCTCAAACTCCCACAGCTGAGAGGCACTTTCTGACTCAACAACACTGTAAAGTGGATACCAAAACAAGGTGCATGACAGCACCGCAATCAGCATCTTTCTACAAAGCTGACATGCATCCGACGAAGTGGGTATTCACCCACGAAAGCTCATGCTCCAATATGTCTGTTAGTCTACAAGGTGCCACAGGACTCTTTGCTTCTTCTACAAACCTTGACATCCTTAGCTCTCATGAAACTCTGTCACTGGTTTTCTCAATCTCAGCCTCTATTTTACTCAATCTCTTATTAAAAAGAAACCATTTAGGGGTAAAGATAGAACACCACTTGACAGAGATACCGGATAAAATAACCAATATCTGAGTTAAATATTTGGCAAACACTTCTTTATTCTCATTCTCTTATGGCATTTAGATACAGATGTTATGCTTTTAGTGCCTTATTTCCAGATCTCTGTATTTTGATGCATTTCCTAGGTTATGTTCTCAATGGTTAAACATTCATTTGCTAGCACGATTTATTTTAGGAATATTAAAATAAAAGTCTGTCTCCATACGCACTTTTTACTCTTTACAGGCCTTATTACCTTAAATCACCTATGGAGGAGAGTCAGACATATCTATCAGCAAAAGAATTACAAAAACTGAGACTTGAAATTAGTATCACTTTTAAAAACCCACTATAAAGAGTTTTTTTTTTTTTTACAATTTTAAGCAAGACATACCTGAAAAAAGTGTGATGTTCAACACAGACTTTCCACAGTTTCTTAGCTGCCCGATAACTAGGTAGTTTGAATCCAATGGTACTTTCATATTGTTCGTGCTATGGAAAATGGCAATGCAGATTATTTTATTATAGCTACAAGTGACGTATGGAAAAGAACATTACTACATAGAACATACCCAGGTAAAACCCAGGCAAGCAATTCCAAAATTTCCCTCACAGAACTTCTTCGGCATTCTTCCACTAGAGAGATGAGGGTTTGGTCCACAAACCCTGTAGTTATACGAACATACCCAGGCATCTGCAAGAAGGCATAGGCCCTTCTATATGGAGCCTATATTTCTCTGCAGCAGTTCTGAGATCCCCTTTAAAAGGGATTTTCCACCGGAGAAATGAAAATGTGGCCTGCGACTATATTACATTTCTAGGGGTATTTTCCCTGGGTGGGGGGGAAAATGCGTCTCCCCTGGCCTCCCTACTCATTGTCTGCTTCCATTCATGCTGGACCCAACAAGGTGGGGGTAAAACAATGCAGCAGAGGCCACTCCATTCCCCTTTCCACATGGGAAGGAGATCCACATACAAGTCAAAACAGCTTGATCCAGCCCCCTCATATACCATGTTGCTACATACTTTGACAATTGATAAAAGTACAACATTCTGAATTATGAATGGTCATCTAAGGTCTAATGAAATGAACAGCTATTTGCTTTCCACAGCAAGAAAAAAAAATGTCTTTACCACAGAATCTTTTGCTCTCCTCATTAAAGTTATGTTTCCAAGTACTATCAGAAAGATCAAGCATTTTGCTTCATATGGGTAATGGTGAAATATTTTGTTTATATTTGTATTTCTGCAACAAAGATCTGTTATGTGCTTGCCTTATTCCAATGAGAATATGTTCAACAGCAGTAGGTGGAGCTAACTACCATGTAATTTATAATTCAAACGTAATTTTATAGGCTCAGATATTTTAGTTTTATATTATAAATTGAATCTACTACAAAGCCAAATAAGACAGCCACTAAGGTACAATTTAAAATGAAAAACCAATTGTACTACTGCAATTATGGAAACAACTTTAAATCTCCACAGCACTTTTCTGTTCTTTATGTAAACAAGACCAACCAGACACTAATTAGAAAATGAGTTATTACAATACAGGACAAAAACAGAAGAAACTGGCAACGTACCTCCCCTGGCCGGATCTTAATGAAGAAGCTGCTGCGTTTGTAGGAAATCTTCAGCACTTTGGGCCAAGGAAAGCGGTTGATTCTCAGTTTATCTTTATAGACAAGAAGGCCACTGGAACAGACTCCCAGAATGATGTCAACTCCCTCCAAGTCCTAAGAAAGTTAATACATATTTATACCTACAGCAGTGTTGGAGTTACAAGTTCCAACAACTGATCACTCAGCATTTTCTCTATACACTCCTTTTGCTTTTTCCTAAATAGCTACTGAATTCATTTGTCCTGCATGCTTGAACAGCTTCCAACTTCCCACGTGCCAAGGGCCAATTTTACTTTCCTTCATATCTCTCCTTAAAACCTCCTCCCTTCTATTGATCTCTTCTCCAACCCCATCTGCTCAAAGTTTGTGTCTGATCTTTTAGGGTTTATACTGTATTTAGTAGAATTCTGAGAGTGGATTACTTTTCAGGCTCAAACATTAGTTTAAATTCTTCAGACCAAGTGCTTGTCTACATTGATAGGTTTATAAAGAGCTCTCTATAATATACAGAGAAGCAAATCAGGAAGTGTAACTTCCTTTTTATAAAGCTTGCACTAATGCTTACAACATATCTATTATATGCTTGCATTTCTGCAAGGGTGGCTGCCTGCCTGCCTACATCTTTGATCAGGGCTCTTGAAACAAGGAACCTATGGGCCCCAACCTACACCACCACCAACAAAATCTCTTACCTTGGCTTGGTGAAGGTCAACTCCATACATCGATAGCTTTTTTGCATTCTCAAGAAATTCGAGGTCTGCTTGGGCTGGAGTCATGGATCTAAACAAGGTTATGTGGAAAAAAAAAAAAGACAATGAACTTACTGTTATCTATACTAATGATTAGTTTAAAAGGAATAGACAGTGATCTTCTATTTAGCAAAAGAATTGCTGAGCCTTGGTTTGCTGAATTGATTTTCTGAATGTAAAATGTTATGTTTACAAAAGATACTGCTTCGTATTTATTCTATGATAATTCCTCAACATCTTATGCCTCTGAAGTACCTAGGGTGACCATATGTCCCCTTTTGGCCGGGACAGTCCCCTTTTTAAGTCCTGTCCTGGGCACCCTAATTTTTTTGGCAAAACTGGGCATTTGTCCAAGTTGTCCAGTTTTGCCAAGAAAGTGGGGCATGAAGGAATGTTGGGAGGGGGAGGGGGAAGCAAGTGGCTCGGGCCAGCCCTGCACACAAGAAGAGGCTTGGGTGAGCCCCACACAATGTCCCGTTTTCCCTTTGGGAAACATGGTCACCCTAGTAAACGGACTGAAAAAAGGAAAGCACCGCGGTACGAATCATGGCACTGATTCTCTAAACAGCCAACTTAATTTGCAAAAAAGGTGAACAAATTAAACCTACTGAAGCCAAACCGCGAACTGTGGTACCCACTCAACACTTTTCAGAATCCAGCTATTGTTCTGAGAATTAAATGCCAGAGCAGTTGAAATCACTTAATAGGAGACTCCTACTAGGAGCAGGCTAGATGAATGAGACATTTTCTGGGAATAGATAGTGTCCTGTCCATAGGAAAGGCAATATAATGCAACTCTGGATAACAGAAACATCCTGATAATGGGGCTATTTTCAGTGTTACTGAAGTATCTCTGGTAATAGGCTTCTATTGTGCAAGGTGTCCAAATGCTTTATTGGGACAGTACTCATTTATATACATTTGGTTTTGTTTGCTGCTTTGATATCTTACTTACAAAAGAATTTACATTTTATGTAAACTGTAAATCCTAGTGTTGCGTCTTATGCAGGCATGATACAATACAGACCAATGGGAATAAAAAGGATTAATATTGCAACAATAGCCCATTTTAAGTGGAACAACAAGGTCAACATTCATCTCCTAAACACAAACCCTCTATATAGTTCAAATAAAACGGCAATAGCAGTAAGAACATTTTATGTGGAAATTCTTTACCTAAAAACCATCTGATGTTTAAAGTTCTCAGAACAACATCCAATATTAACGAATTCATCTATACAAGAGGGAGGCTATATAATGCTACAAATTTAGATATAGCCATGTTATTCAGGTCAACTTTTAATATTTTTGTTTTACACAAAATGCTTTATGTTCACTGGCTCTTTTAAGAGAATAAAACAGCCAAAAAAATAATTCAGCCATGTTAGTCGCCTGTTCTATCACAAATAGTATTTCACAACCTGAAGTCAAAGGAAGATACTGAGCAACTGAGAAGCTTATCTTCCGCATGCATCTCCCCCTCAGTACAAATACAGAGAAATCAGTTTAAAATATTGACCTGACAGTGCGAGTTTGAGGTGTTCATTAGAGCTTTGGTATCACCCTTGGACTGAAGTCCACTATTACAGGTTATACTTATGTTATTAATTTGCATTTCTTGTGGAAAGGTCTTCATCTTTGTTTTTAGTTTTCTATAGGCATTACTAAAAAGCGACAAAGAGCCCTGTGGCACCTTATAGACTAACAGACATATTGGAGCATAAGCTTTCATAGGTGAATACCCACTTTGTCAGACGCAGCAGCTTTCATATTCACCCACGAAAGCTTATGCTCCAATAAGTCTGTTAGTCTATAAGGTGCCACAGGACTCTTTGTCGCTTTTTCAGATCCAGACTAACACAGCTACCCCTCTGATGCTATAAGCATTACTGTGGCTCAACTCACAGCTTTGGGGCAGTCAAGAGAGACTGCAGGTTCAAGTCCCACACAAGGGGTTGGGCTCATTCTCAGTGTTTTATGGCATTTTCTTCCTTCCCTTAAAACTACTGACACTTGCACCCCTCTTTCAGATTGTACAATACTTATATATCATGGTGGTAGGCTCCTTAAAAAGTGTGAAGAGAGCTAGATAATAAACAAACAGTTCAGTGTGGTCTCTGTAGTTGAACATGTCAGTATATTAGCGAAATATGCACAATATAGGATAAAATTTCTTTTTCAAAAAGTTTTAGTTTAGTTATGATCCTCTAACCTGATACAAGAGCTGCTCAAGAGAGACTCACCAGTATGAAAAGGTAGTCACAGAGGGAAAAAGAAACCTTTCACAAATATTAGGTTATAGGAAAAGTTCATTCCTATGGGATCGAAAGACATATCTGGCTTCAAGACTAAGCTTGATAAGTTTATAGAGGGGATGGTATGATGGGATAGCCTAATTTTGGCAATTAATTGATCTTTGATTATTAGCAGGTAAATATGCCCAATGGCCTGTGATGGGATGTTAGATGGGGTGGGATCTGAGTTACAACAGAGAATTCTTTCCTGGGTGTCTGGCTGGTGAGTCTTGCCCACATGCTCAGAGTTTAGCTGATTGCCGTATTTGGGGTCGGGAAGGAATTTTCCTCCAGGGCAGATTGGCAGAGGCCCTGGAGGTTTTTCGTCTTCCTCTGCAGCGTGGGGCACAGGTCACTTGCTGGAAGATTCTCTGCACCTTGAGGTCTTTAAACTACGATTTGAGGACTTCAATAGCTCAGATATAGATTAGGGGTTTGTTACAGGAGTGGGTGGGTGAGATTCTGTGGCCTGCGTTATGCAGGTGGTCAGACTAGATGATCATAATGGTCCCTTCTGACCTTGAAGTCTATGCATCTATTCCCTTTAATATCATCATCCAACAAAGTTGAAAGTGCAGCTACATACCTAGTAATAAATTTGAAAAATTGCTACACTCTGAAATCCTTCCTCCGGGGTAGAATGCAATTGTACTAGCTCTCGCCGTCCATTTAGATCATGCACCCCGTCGAGTAGAGGCCACATCTGTGTGTGTTTTATATGGTGTTGGTGCTTAGTAAATAAAACCAATGCTCCCTACAACATGATGAGAGTTCTGCTCATGTCAGCACCAAAAACAAAGTTATGCGGAGATCTCAGTATTTATGCCTTTCATGCACACTTCCAATGCATTTGGTGTTGCACAAGGTTATTTATTAGTAGTATTGCAGTAGCACCAGAAGACTCCATTCAGGACGTAGGCCACGGAATCCTAAGTGCTAACATACACAAAGGAAGACAAGGCCCCCTCCCCCACAGGACAACTGAACAACAATAGAAGAGGAGAAGGGAGGACAAAGGACAAAGTTAACAGTATGTACACTATACAGTTCTAAGTGGAATCAAACCCATCCACCACTGTCATCAGGGTGAGGACTATAGAGACTCCAAAAGTGGGGTTCTTAAAGATACTTTTTAAAGTTTCACAGAACTCTTCTAAAAATAGTTTATTTTTTCTAGTAGGAAGGAAGAAAACCCTTTTACTAACTAACAGCTGCAGGATATTCTCAGAACATTCTCACTGGTTTTGGACTCACCAATGTTTTCACCAACTCCTTTGTTATTCTTTATATTGCGGTAGTGCCTAGAGGTCCCATTGTGCTAGAGACCATACAAACAAGTAAAATGAGAACACAAAGACAACCTCTCCCCAAGAGTCTAGGGCCTTGGCTACACTGGCGCTGTACAGCGCTGCAACTTGCTGCGCTCAGGGGTGTGAAAACGCCCCCCCCCCCCCGAGCGCAGCGAGTACAGCGCTGTAAAGCACGAGTGTAATCAGAGCCTGCAGCACCGCACGCTATTCCCCTCGGAGAGGTGGAGTACTTACAGCGCTGCGAGAGAGCTCTCGCAGCGCTGGCGGCGCGACTACACTAGCACTTCACAGCGCTGCCACGGCAGCGCTGGGAAGTCCTGAGTGTAGCCAAGGCCTAGGATTATGACAAGACACAAACGGTGGACAAAAGGAGAACAATGGGAGTGAGTGGAGGGGGAAAGGGGAAGGAAGCAGTAAAGTTTGTAGGTAAGTAGTCTCAAGGGGCAATTACTATTACATGACCAACTCTGGACTCTCTCAGTATCTGATTCCTTCATAGCACTAGCAGAATAGTTTATGCAAAGCAAGTGGGTTATAAATTCTGGAAGGACTTTTTGTAACTGTTTGGAGTTTATTTATTTACTTAAAGCAGATGGATTTTCTTTGTGAACTGAAAACTCATTTATGAAACTAACACGCTCTCTCTCTCACTGTTGTTCTGTTTGAGGTTCACAAAAGATATTGATGGCCTTGAAGAGAAAAATAAAAACACAGAATTTGTGAAAATACTAAATGGCTATAATTCTAATTACTCCTTTTACTTTGTGGTGCACAGACAAGTTCCCTTAATACCAGCACTCACCTGTATGTTTTATGTAGTTCCATGACTTTTTCTTCAAGTTCCTTTGTCTGGTTTGGGGCCAGTTTAAATTCACTGACATAATCTGCACTATGTAACTCCGGGTCATAATCTCCCAATTCAGACTGGACTGTGTAAGAACTCAGCAGGGCCAGTGTCGCAAAGGAACAAGGCAGACGCCCTGTAACAATGTCATGTCTAAGCTGAAGACACAAATAATACCTACAGGGAAGAAGCAGAAGATGTGATTTTAACAGAGTTCAATAGAACAGTGGTTCTCAACCAGGGGTCCAGGGCAGGTTTCAGGGGGTCAGCCAAGCAGGACCAGCGTTCGACTCGCTGGGGCCCAGGGCAGAAAGCCAAAGCCCCATCACATGGGGCTGAAGCCCGGGGCCCTGAGCCCCACCACACAGGGCTGAAGACGAAGCCCGAGCAACGTAGCTTCGCGGGGGCCCTGTGGCATGTGGTCCCAGGGCAACTGCTCTGCTTGCTACCCCTTAACGCCGACCCTGGCTTTTATATGCAGAAAACCAGTAGTTGTGGCACAGGTGGGCCATGGAGATTTTATAGCATATTGGGGTGGGCCTCAGCAAGAAAAAGGTTGAGAACTCCTGCAATAGAAGACAAAAATGTGGTCATTTTATTTTGAGCCCAAGCTCCTGAGGAAATGAAGAGAAAGGCCACTTTTTATGCTGCTAAATGGTCTGGAGTGGTGTTTGTATTGGCTTATAAGGAAAAAAAGAGTTAGTGCACCCTCTTCATTCAAAGGGTACGGGCTACACCTGTCTGAAAGGAAGAACGATCACAGGATTTAAAAATAAAATCACCCCCTTCAAAATGGAGCTTTTGATAACTGAAATCAGACTTTGTTCAAGGCATTTAAAAGTATGCATAAAAATCATGCACATATAGACTTCAATGCAGACTGTCTAGTCCTATAGTATTAACTCTAAACTATACTTGAAAACAAAGATTTATAAATAGCTTTTGAGCTTTTACCTGAAAAGCAAAATATTGTGCACTTCAATGGTACTTTCCACTCTCAGTACTTTACCAAGCGAACCTGATTAGCAAAGTTAATGGGAAATAATGTATCTTTACCTCGTTATATCCTCTGTCAGCTGTGCTGGATCTGGTGGATAAAACTTCACATTGAATGTAAAGTTCCAGGGGCCTCCTGTAATTAGAAACATATAAGTTTTGAAAATTTACAACAAAAATGATCACAACACAGACGTTTATAAAAATTAGAAATATCAAATCTGACTTTAAAAATAAAGCATTCAAATGATATTTATATTTGAATGCTGCCACTTGAACTATTGATTATAGAATGTAGTTTAAAGAGAAGTGATAAAGTCTCTGATCTGTTTTCATTTACTTAGCTTAAAATACATCTTTTATGGGGAACACGTAAGCAGACTATGTGGAGGTGGACATATTGAGATAATAGAAGAAATGTGGAATTCACTTGTTTTGGAATCTACTGCTCATTAAATACTTCATATCTCTCTTTGCTTTTTATAGATGTGATCAAGTATGAATAGAGGTCAAACTGTGGTGTGGGTTAATGAATTAGCATTTTACCACCAAAGACTCAGGTTTTAAATCTCCCTTAGGTGAGAAGAAAGAGGTGTTTAGTGGTTAAACATTGGCCCATGCCACACAGCCACCATATAAATTCAGTACAAATGTCAATGTGTAGTCAAGAAACACCCAGGACTAAAACAGCAAGGGTTTTGCAGGTCAAGACTGAAATGTTTTAGTACAGCTGAATTACAAGGTTTATGTAGCACTTTCAGAGATAGTACTTAGCTCTAGTTAGTATCATCAGCCTTACTTCTAGGAGTACAACAATTATATTCAAAATGCATGCTCAGCCACTGTTCAATAAATCACATCTAACAAGCAAAGATGCAAAACTATGTTTATTTTTCAATTTATACAAAAATGAAACCTTTCATAAACTCTCTGGGAGACATACTGTATTTGAAAATAAAGATTTTTAAACAAACTGATAAGTGAAATCATTAAAAAGATACAAAATATAATGTTCCAATCTAGCACCTTACAATCATAATTACATTGTGTGGACATTAAAACTCACCCCTCCCCTCCTTACTTCAGAGAGTTCAGATACCAAGAAGGCAGTAGCTTTAAAGATTTATTTTTTCAAGTGTTCAGAATGAGGTCACCATTTCCTCTTGGAGGGTATAATCAATTTTGCCCTTAGATAGCTGACCTGAAGGGCAGAGGCATTAAATGCTTCAGTAGGGAATTTCTAAAATTACTGCAAAAACCTGAGTCAAATATAACGACTTCATTCATTACCCTCTAATTCAATAGTTTAAAATGGTACTTAATTCAGGAAGGCAAGTTTTCCTGATTTGGTTTCTTAAAAGATTTAATAAGTCCCACATGGGGCTGGGAGAGGGGAGGATGGGAGAAACCAAACAGACTCCATTTACAGATTTGCCTCTTACCCAATAACATAACTGAGTTAAGAGACAAATCCTGCCATTTTCATTCTATGGTGCCAGAAACATTCAAATTATTCATGAATAAGTTTAAGATAACGGTGAGCAACTTTCCATCTATTTTAAGGGGAACACAAACATTCTGGGGTTGTCTGTAGAAAAGTACTGTTCCCTTTTTTAGATCTGTATCTTAATCATGTCATTTTTCTAGTAAGACAATTTAAATTCATCTCAATCAGCTGAGTGAAACAAAGGGTTCCTTTAAATATCATCCTGCTGCAGGTTTTTGCACCAGTCTCATAATATTGTACTTTTACCACTAATGTCACAAAGGAGAAAAGCAGCTAAAGCTGTGCATACAAACAATTGCTTTTGTAGGTTATAAAAATAAAAATGGATGACTGAATGAAGAAGCTTTCCCAGTGCTGTTTATTTATTAACACCAATGGAGTTTTGCCTCTATTATGCCACACAGAGAGCCTCTTCAGTTTATAGCAACAGAGGGTCCTGTGGCACCTTTAAGACTAACAGAAGTATTGGGAGCATAAGCTTTCGTGGGTAGAAGAAGTGAGGTTCTTACCCACAAAAGCTTATGCTCCCAATACTTCTGTTAGTCTTAAAGGTGCCACAGGACCCTTTGTTGCTTTTTACAGATTCAGACTAACACGGCTACCCCTCTGATACTCTTCAGTTTATAGCTTTGTTGAAATACCTCTCTTCCTCCCTGTAAACCTACACACAAATTCACTTTCACTACAGTGAGACGTCTTGAGTGTGTGTAGTCTTTGAAGAAAAACTGGTCTCTGAAAATGGATCTACATGGACACTGATATCAGAAGAAGTCCTAGTCCATTTCTGCTTATACTGTGAGACATTCATCCTGACACTGTTCAAGCCACTTGTTCAACTCAGATATCCCATTTGGATGCCTGAGCAGTTCTGAAGAATCCACAGAAGTTTGCTACAGCATATACTTTTCTTTTCCCGATTCCCATCTCCTTATTGATCCTTAAGTGGTTCTCCATGACATTCATCTCTCCCGCCCCCCTCCCTCCGGACACCAGCAGGCTGAAAGACATCTACCTAATTCTGGATTGCACTACGGAGGCACAGCATTTGTCTACCTCCTGACAACGTACTGTAGGATATTCTTCATTGTACCGAAGTGCCACTATTAAGAGTAAAAAGAGGGACTGCATGCTGTTTGAACTTGTGCTGATCCCTGACAAACACCCTTCCATGAACTCTAACTGGTCTTCGGGGGTTCTCTGAATTGTAGGCCAAAGCTATAAATATCTACCAGTATTAAAAAAAAAAATAGATCAAGATGAACTCAATCCACTTACCATGAACCTGCTTTTTTATTTCTTTGGCAGAATCCAACCATGTCTGTAAGAGGAGAAAACGGTAAAATTCACACAGTTGACAAGTATGAAAAGAACCACCACAGGAAACAGCGCTGCCAATCAGCTAAATAAGCAGCTATCAAATGTGAACTGAACTGGCTGTTGTAATGTGTGTATACTGTCTATATTGTACAGTATCTATCCATCCACCTCTATATTACTCTATACTACTACTCAGACACATGTACAACATCCTAAGTTTCCCCATTTTTCAGCATCTCATCACACCATTCATCTGCATGCAGTTCAAAGTGGAGAGAGAGAAAGGATGGGGTGAAGGACAGCAGCAGAATTCACATCCGTGACTTTTGTCCCCCAGTGGCCAGCTAGTACATATACACTGCATACATGATAAATTAAAATTCCAAAAGGACATGAAAGCTCTATATACAAAAAGCTTCATTTATTTGAGCTCCTACAACGGCCTTGAACGATAAAGTGCTAACTTCCAAGGGAAGCCATCTCTCTGTGGATCTAAAGGTGCAGAATACTCAGTTTTCTCATTAAAATAAATGCTCTGATGAAATACTGCAAACTACATCTCTCTCAAATTCCAGCATCAGACAGTCTAAGCTAGAGCTAGACATTAGATCCATAAAGGTTTTAACACTGATATTTTCTCACAACCGGCTGCACCTCCCTCTGCATTTTAAGATGTATTGCTCACACTCATTCAGATGTTTAGATAGTAAGTTAAGCCCCTCTATGTGTAGTCTTTAATAAAGACAGTTTTATGTCCTATCAATCACTGGAATAAGTGAAGATATTTACGATGATAGCAAAAACTTAGCACCTATCATGACAGTTCGGGGTGGGGGGTGATAGTCGTTATATATATAAAAAAAGGCATATTTCTGAGAATTAGCTTGAGGAGATAATATATTTAGACATTTTTATCCAGTTTCCTCAGCTGCCCGTAATTCAGCTCCTTTATTTGTATTTTTGGGGAGCAAGGAGGTGGTGCAAAACCGATGCCAGTGAAATTATTTCACAGTCCTGCCAATGCTCCTCCTTCAGTTATAACCTGAAACATCTCCGTCTCGAGCCTCTTCTTAGCAGAAGCGATCAGTTATGATACACTGTATGAAGACAGTGCAATACTGATAATCATCTTCTAGAGGCTAGAATGAAGCCATCAAATTCATGTTCATCTGACCTAAGCAGGATTTGTAAACCTGTGTCTTCTGAGGTGAAAAACTAGAATGCCCACCCCATTCAGCCCTCTAAGCTCATCTTTCTTAACCTAAAGGACATTTTTCTTTAAATGTTTACTGGTACAACGGTGGATAGGTTTAATTTAAATTCATTATTAAAAATCAGCTCTCTTCTACTCTTCCAATCTTTACAACTAGTGCTATGAAACCCATGAAAAACAAGGCCCACAGTCCATCTACATAGCATTTTTTGGGGTCGACGGTTTTGTCAGCATAACAATTTTAAACGTAAGTGCTGATGCTACAAATGTTAGTTTTCTCCAACGAGAATGGGACAGCCTAGCTGCCGGCTCTAACGCAGCCCGAGTGCAGTCATGCATTCATGGAACTCATCCTGTCTGTCTAATCCAACAGACAATGAGGGGTTTGGTAATTAATGATCCTCTTATCCAACGCTGTTTCATGAATCAGTGGGAAACAATTCTCCCTTTCAGACTAGTATAAACTCCAATATAAACTCCTTCAGTGCTAAACAGTCCCTCTATTCACTTTCCCACATTGGAAAAACAGAGGATGAAAGTGCCCTTCCTTGCAGTCACTGTTCGTTTATTTCTGAAGGTAGAAATATTTAGGTATAATATTTTCATGTGTATGTGCGTGCGCACGCACACACCCCTCTCTCCCATCAAACCCTAGCTATCATTTTGGAGGAGGTTCAAATGTTGGTTTGTTGAAGACTCTTATTAAAAACACTTTAGCTGGTAAATCAAATAACTAGGTGAAGGCGCTTTTTAAAGAGTATTGTAGTACTGGAGGGAATGTCAGACTTGGAAGTTTACGCTCCATTAAACAGAAAGATATATAGATATATAAGGCAATTATCTCAAAAGAGCAAAAGGTGGCTGCAAACATTAATAGTTTATTCCAGACTGGGATTAAAATCTATATCGAACAGCTGTTTAACTCTCTCATTCTTGGTTTTAAGTGACAATAAATCTCCGACACCAAACAATCCTGCTACTATCTGTGTTCCCTCACTCGTTGCCGTCTGTAAGAAATTACAGCAGCCAACGCCGAATCAGACATCAAGCGAGTTAAAAAAGCAGGTGTTTAATTCCGTTTTCGAAGACGGCAATGCAATTAGCTTTCTTCCGCTCCTCCTGTCCCAAACCTAAGGAAGCCTGCTTGACTCTAAAGTAATGGATACAAAGAGAGGCAGACAAAAGGGGAAGTGGTCAGAGAATGATGACCTGGCAATTTTCTTCCCACAACACAAAATACATTGGTTAAAAGACTTAGCTTGAACAGCTTGACATTTCTGCCTTGAAAAATATCTAACAATGTTTTACATATAGTAAAAAGAACAGGAGTACTTGTGGCACCTTAGAGACTAACAAATTTATTAGAGCATAAGCTTTCGTGGACTACAGCCCACGAAAGCTTATGCTCTAATAAATTT